AAAATGATCCTGCCGATACTATTCCCTCTTCTATGAGCGTTAGCTAGGCGTTGAAAAAATTTTGTGTTCCGCTCCCCTTCCTTGAGCCACAGGGCTCTAGACTTTTGTCTCCACGATATTTCTTCCATAACAACAATCTCTTCAAACTCAGCCTTGCACAACTCTCTTCTATTTTTCTCCATGCCTGAGATCCCCACATCACCCTCCTTTCTGTCCAAATCCGAAATTTCAGAGAGCAATTGGCTTTTCCTCCACTCCAACTTGCCAAACTCTTCCTTATTCCAGACCTTCAGATCCCTTTTTAAACTTTTCAGCTTTGTAGCAACCTGAAAGCTTGGAGTACCCCTGACCTCATATGCGCACCACCAGTTCATTACCCTATCCTTGAAATCTCCTACTCGCAGCCACATATTCTCAAATCTAAATGGAACGCGACCTCTCCTAATCCCTCCACAATCAAGCAAAATGGGAACATGATCAAAAATTGCCCTAGCACTGGCCGTTTGCGATATACCAGGAAACTTCTCCTCCATCTCCACCGAGATAAGGAATCTGTCCAGCCTCGAAAAAGATGGAGTTTCACATCCGCTTGACCATGTGAATGCACCACCCGCCATGGGTAAATCCAAAAGATTAAAATCCTCCACAAAATCCGAAAAGTCTGCCATAGCTCCATCCCACCCACCTGAATGAGATCTCTCATATGTGTGAAGAACAGCATTGAAATCACCCCCAATACACCACGGCACCTCCCATCTTCCTCTAATGCTACCCAACTCTCCCCACAACTCCCTACGCTCAACATCATTCACTGGACCATATAGTATAGAAGAACTCCAAGAGTCACTTTCAATAGACAAATAATCCATCGTTCTCTCCAATAAGACTTCGAAGTATGATCCATGTTTCTATGCCTCTCCAACTACGTTGGCCTTGATTTTCCGTGGAACACCATATGGCGCTCTAAGGCCCCACCTAGAGTGGCATTCTTTGTATGGACTGCCGTATGGGGTAAGATCTTGACGATTGACAATCTAAGGAAGAGAGGCAACAGTATTGTTAATTGGTGCTGCCTTTGCAAACGAGATGGTGAGACAGTGGATCATATCCTCCTGCATTACCCTATAGCGTACGACTGTTGGAACCTTATATTTAGCTTATTCGGTATGTTTTGGGTAATGCCTCGATCTTCTAAGGGTCTAATTAACGCATGGAGGGGATGCCGTGTGAGAAGCAGTGTTCGCGACTATTGGAGGACAGTTCCGCATTGCATTTGGTGGTGCATCTGGAAGGAGAGGAATAACAGAATGTTCGAAGAGAAGGAGTCGTCCTTGGCAACGCTGAAACTTCACATATTATTCGCTCTATCTTTTGTTACTTGAAGAGGAGTTCTTGCTCCTCTTCTGATGACTTAGTTAATTTTTTGGATTCTTTGGGTCCTTAGATCCCGGTTCCACTTTGTTTAAGGGATGCGTTCCCCTTTTCAACGCTTTTTAATCGATTATTATTTATAAAAAAAAACTAAGATCCATTTTTTTGCCACGTGTTTCTACTCACAAAGGGATTCTTTTATTTCACTTGGAGCCCTGTACTTATTGTTTGGACACTGGATTTGTTTGATTACTTGTTCTGAGTAAAGGGAATTAAGAGAAGGAAAGAAAGGTATCAATCACACTTGTAAAGATTGTCATCATATTGATAAACTTAAATAGGTTCTATATAACTACTGTTTTTTTCTACAATATACTTTCAAGTTAAGGATCATTGCATGGTACCATGGTGAAAACTCAAATGACAAGCATAAAAATGAAGGTTCAAGTATGAGAGCAGTCACCTTGTGCAAATAATGTTGAAGGCTAGAATTGTCTAAAGATTTACATATTTTTCATTTCTATGCAAATTACTGTTATTTCTAGACTATTTTTTAATGAAACTTGCAATTAACTATTTGATAACATTTTTTGGGTTGTTTGGCATGTGTTGGGTAATGCCAAGATCTACTAAGGATTTGATTCATGTATGGAGAGGTTGTCGCGTGAGAAGGAATGTACGCGATTTCTGGAGAGTTATCCCACATTGTGTTTTGTGGTGTATTTGGAAGGAGAGAAATAGTAGAATGTTTGAAGATAAAGAGTCGTCTACGGCAATGGTGAAACATCACATTCTTTGTTCTCTATTCTCTTATGTGAAGAGGAGTTCTTGCTCTTCTTCTGATGATTTAATTATTTTTTTGGATTCCTTGGGGCCTTAGTCCCGGTTCTATTTCTGTAATAGGGACGCGTTCCCCTTTTGAGCGCCTTTTTTATATTATTATTACTTATCAAAAAAAAAAAATACAGATTTACAGTGTGAATAGGTTTGGACAACTATGATTAGAACACAAAAGTTGACTGAATCTTACACAGGCATTACAGTAAACAGATAGAACACCGAACAAAACTATTATATAACATAGTGTGCTGCTCAATGAATTCTCATATACGTCAATATTTAATGATTTTAGTAACAAAGAAAGTCATTTGAATAACACGATGGACTCGATTCAAATGCTGCAGGAAACACAATACAATGATTCAATTTCCATCTGACGTCCAAATTACACGTCTTTATAGAGTTTTGGTCAAGAAAGGCTCAGTCCTATGAAATGTAATAACTAACAATTTCAGATCAAAGTGAGGATTCAGTAACACAGATCAATTAATGTTTCATCTTTTTCGTCAATCCGACAACCATATAACACAAAACCAATATAAGATGTGGTGCTCGGAAGGTAAGGTCAGCGCATGCTACATTTTCTTTCTGATAATTTGTGATGGTACCTATGAAGTCTAGATACACAAGAACTGCAACAGGACACATTGCTCAGGTTAAAAGAGTATTCACCCTAGCTATACATTCTCCATTTATACTCAATACTGAAATTTCTGCCAAAGTTTTTAAAGGCTACTATCCAGCATGGTATCTGTTATCAAGGGTAGGGTGCTGGATAGAGGTTGATTAGGCATAGACCTGACCATGTATTTTATTTGCAGAAAGTGGCTGTCCTCAAACTCGAATGCGTCCCCTTCATACTTGGCAACCCAAGCTTTTGGCACTACACCAGACAAAGGAACCTTCCTACGAATTTTTTTTTTTTTAAGTCTCATCTTTTGCTCGCAGACACAGGAAAAATGTTAGAAATTAAATTACCCTCAGCAGAATAAAAACATAACAGGGCTGTATCAATTATCGCTGAAGGAATATTTTATTGTGAGCACTGATAAAGTGTTTGGTTGTTTTGACTAGAACCATGTGATGGACAGATCCATAAATACAAGAAAGAACACTTAATACTTTTAAACTTTCTTCCCCCCCAACCCACCCCCCCACCCCGCAACCCACCCTAATAGAAGAAGGTAATACAATACCTGCACTGTTGGAATGCATAATCCAAGTAATGTTAATATAGGCTGAGGCTGACAATGAAGCAATATTGTATATTTTTTTATAAACCCAGTGCACGAGGCTCACACGTGGAGGTAAGGCAGCGATATCTAACCCTCCCCAAACCCCACAATGAAGCAATATTGTATACTGACATGATAAATAATCGAATCCTCTCTGCATTCCCCGTATTTCACCGGCACTGTATGGTCACAAGATATCATGTTTTTTGTGTTATTCCCTATGTTACCTAGACTCGGGTATGGGTGTCGAACACAGGTGCATGTCTAAGGGTCAGATGCTTCTAATTGTTAAAATTTGAAATATGTGAACACAAACAATGCATTGAAGAAGACCACACGTGACTCTCTAAAGGTGAGATCTGGACTTAAATGATGCACATGGTTTGCGGGTGATTGGGTGCATCCGGAATTTGCAAACCATCTGAGACTCCAATGTGGCTAGCAAGTGGGCAGATACTTTGTTACCAAATAAATTAAAATCAATAAAAAAAATGCATCGAAGGATCCTTGAAGTAATTGTTATAGAGTGTTTATGTATGAACAAAAGTGAGGGTAAAATTCAAATATAACATAAATATTGTGCAACAGTAAGAATAAGTCATACAATATTGCGTGCATCAGGAATTTAATAATGGTACTGCTCTTAGAAAAAAGAAAGAAAGAAAAAAAAATAAAAAGTGAAGTTTCCAGCTCGTCCTCACTAAATGCACGAATTTTAATTGGAATTGAAATATTGGAAAAGAAATGTCCTAGTAGTTCAAGATTAAGACAGTTTTCTGTGAGCCCTAGGTCAGTAAAGTACTACAAATCCAATAACATAGTACCAAACCAGATATTCATGAGCATCATTAAATGAGTTTTGGAGGTAAATCAATGATTAGTTTATAAATATTAAGCAATGTTGAGTAATTTTAAACCCTCTAAATCAATCCAGCTATGTTTAGGCCAAAATTACTATTAAATAACTGGGAATCTTTTAAAAGGAGTTATGACAATTCTAAAAAACTTTTGTTCGGTAATGAGGCGGATGTTCCCATGCATCAACTAGTAAATGTCAAAAGCGTTGTGAACAAATTACTTAAAAACCAGTAAACGTTGAAACAACATAAACAAAGCCCGTGAATAAAGAGTGCTACCACTGCTTACAGAGATCGATTGTAATGTATCAAAGTATCTACAAGCATTCAGGACGTAATAGATCTGAAAAATCAAACTTGTAAAAAAAATATATAGATCTGAAAAATCACACTAAGTAAACCTATCTATACCTGTTTCTATTTTGCATATATTGCTGAACAATTTCTTCTAGAACTACTTTTTCGAATTTTAAAACTGATCAGAATACTAGGGAGATGAAATTTAAAACAAACGAGTATAGAATAAATGACGAAATGATGAAAACTTGATATAACACAAACTGTAGAATGAACTTTAGTGCAACCAAACAATGAAAAGCACAGGAAAAAGTAAACTGTAGAAGGCGGTAAGGAATAACATTAAAAGCATTACTAATAATAATAACATAATAACAAAAGTGAAATTAAACATGAGTACCTTAATTGCAAAAAGATCCCCTGTCGTTCTCTTTTTTGCTAAGAAAACCCGGCCAAATGCCCCACGACTGATTGGTTTTATGATTTCAAAGTCATCTATGGAGGTACGATCCTTATTAGAATGTATAGGACTGGTTCTCAAACTACGAACAACATCATCTTCCAAAGGAGCATCTTCGTCAATTACTGTACTTGTTATGTCAACCTTTTCGTCATCAACTAGTTCACAAAGCTGCAGATACTTCTCCCTGGAGAATGACAATTCATTACATTAACTCAAAGGTGAGAAAGAAAAGGTGAGAGAGAGAGAGAGAGCATAAATGTTGAAACGAACACCTTCCACTCAACTGTAAATTGTATGTAAGTTTCTATAGAAGAATCTTTGCCTGTATATATGATTCACTCACGACCTGTTTCAATCTCTAAAATAAGTAGGTAAAGAAAAAAATGCCCTAAATTTACTCAGAGGAATTAACATTTAAGCAAATTCCTTTTTAATCCCCTGCTCTGTACACAACAGATCCTTGAGTGCGCAGGGTGGGACAAAAAAAAAAGGTGGGGAGGAAGTTGGTGCATGGAACTCACCGAATCAGCTTCTCTATGCGTGCTCCAAATGTCTCCACTGTAAGGGCATCCAATTTTCTACGGTCAATGACAACCCTCAAGTCTTCAAGACAAGTAAGCAAATATGGTAGTGACCGATCGTCGTCTAAAGGCGTATTTGCCACACATCGAGCAATATCAGCAAGCTCATTCATCTGCATCAGTGAGGACTTTTAATAGCTTAACAGTGAAATGTGATAAATACATATTCATAGCTGTATATCCAATTGTACATAAAACTAACCATCAGCATTTCCTAATGACACTATTACTTATCAAGAAAAAATTTACTGAAATACCTAAATACATTGTCACATACATTAGCCCAAACTTCTATAATTGCACTAGATAACATCCCCATTAAAGGCATTACCCAACATATGTTCCCAATCTACCAAGTATTTTTCTACAAGTGCCTCATATCCATGTTGTGCTTCTTAACTTGAGGTCAAGCATCACTAACCCTCAATATGCTAAAAAGAGCTGATTGACATATTCTCAGCACCAAGCAAACATGTTGTTAGGTCAATACGACTTAGCTGGCAAATTTTGTTCAAAACAAGAGTTTATACTTCTAATTCTTAACTTGGTTATGTTTTTAAGAAGTTAGTTAACTCCATCCAAGTTTAAACTGGAGATCCCCTTTTGAGTGCTTTTCAATGATTATCGTACTTATAAAAAAAATTAATTCAGTTCATCATGTTCAATCATAGTAGCATCAAGGGCTAAAAAAGTTGAAAAAGTAGGTTAAAGTTTCCACAAAAACCTTACCCAAAGAAAATGTTTCTGAAAAAAGATGAGGACACTCATCATCCTCACCAGTATCTTTTGCTCTTTCCAGAAACATCTCAATGCATGTTATATTCATGTCATGATTCCCACTCAGTCGTCACAACTCACAAGGAATCTAGGACAATAGATCCGTCACTGGAAAAAATTTGAGGCCACTTCTGTACATCTAAATTACACTTATACCCATCCTTTAAACATATTACCAACTTCCATAAAACGACTACTTTACAAAGGTTATATTGTAATTTGACAAAACTTGCAACCTGACAGAAAGCACATTACCAGAGGCACATTACCTCAGAGGATTAAAACACAACTAGCTAACATCCACGATAAATATATAATTCCCAATTTCTCGCCATTACCCAAATCAAAAAGCACATTACATATTTTCTCCCTATATCTTGAAACTTCAGTGTAGAGAGAGAGAGAAAGACTGGAGGGGAAAGAGGAGGATATTAAGCTTGGAGCCAACAAGTCCCCAGAGAGGCAACCTCTGGGTACCTCAGCACAGACAAAAGACTAAAGAGACTGGCGAGTCGCGGTTCGGGAACCGGTTGGATTGGCAGTGAACAGATCCAATTTTCGGTTGAACTGACTGGCTTTCAAAGGATTTGCGCGTAAACCGAACACGCACGTGTGAAAGGGACGGCTCTCTGGCAAAACCAACTGCTTCTACATGGGAACGGCAGAGTCAACTCTGACTCAGTCGGTTCTCTACTGAACCGGACGATTTGATTGTGGATTTCACTCTGAGTGATATATCAGATGGACTGAGACTCCGCAGCAGCCAAATCACACCAACTTGGCCGAGTTCGCAAACCACGATTAGAGCGTAGGTTGGTAATCCTATCCCTCACATATGATATAATTTACAGTCGCAATGTCTCTAAATACGTAATTGAACCATCTTCAGTCTCTATACCAAAGGTGTACTTTGTACAACCCGGAGATAATGGGAAGAGAAAGACCCTTATCTAAGCATGTGTAATTATAGAAGCCCATAGTTTTCCACTTTCAGGCGGTCAAGCGCATCCTATGGTATTTGCAGGGCGCATAGACTTTGCAAAATAAGGATAATATAGAGGGAGAGATTCCTGCTCCTATGACTGCTATCCAAAGTACAGATGACAAGGATGATTTGGTGCATATCTCTAATGTGTTTGCGGTATTGCAAGAATAGAAAAGTGGGCCCTTTCCCTAATGGAGTTCAGTTTTCACTTCCTGCCTCAAAGATCCGTCAAGGGAAGGGCCTTCGCAGAGACTATTATGATTAGTGTTCAATAAGCCATAGTACATACTCACAATTGTAGAACTAGTAATTTTGCATTGTCACTCAAGTTGGATAGAGAGTAGCACACTAAGTGGCACAGACACATGCACATATGCAAAAGACAACACAAATATGCCGATATGCCTAATTCTAAATTAAGATAAATCATAAGAATGCTAGGTGGACACGAAAATATATATAATTTTATTTATACGCATCAATTACATAAGGCAACTATATGCTTTAAATAATTTTCTAATTTCATACTAATAATTGCATAATGTGGAGGATGAAGGTATACAAATGTTATAAATATTTTCATTTATATACTACTACCGGTAATTTCCTATTATTATTTTTTATCACAATTGTTTCATGTCCTATATTTAAAAGTGTTCATTACATGTTACGTTTTCCTTAAAGGAAATGCTGGACCATTTGGTGTTTGTTCATCTTGCTTTCAAGATTGTCAGGCATGGCTCCTTTTACTATGTGTTTGTACTACATAAGGTTTGTGTGGGGGTGTCTGTAATTTATCAGCCAAAAGTCTAAAATAATGAACTTTATTTTTGAAACTAAGGACACATCTGAGACGTCAGGCAAGCGTCTAGGAATGTCCGTGAGGTATGCATTCCAACATGAACGTGGAACCTTTGTAGAAGTTTTCATGATTCTTAGGTTGCACAATACAATCCACAGTTGTTGCCCCACAAATACAACATTCTCCAAGTGAATAAATGCAATGAAAAAAGAAGAAGAAAAAAAATCCTTGTTGATAGATATATCTTTAAGTCAAATTCTAGTCTTGTACCAATGTGATGCAAGAACATTGGAAAGAGGTTAGGAAGACTGCGTGGAACCTTAACCAAGTTTTTTTTATTTATTTTTATGTCAATATGTCCTTATTAATCCTAGTGCTTATTTATTATAATGTAATGGTCATCTATCCATTTTAGGTTGTTTAACTATGTTATCATCTAAATAACTAATAAGGGATAACGTGTCTTTTCATCATTAGGAAGATAATAAGCTCTCTCTGCTTCTTCTTATATATTTCTTATAAATATGGTAGGTCAGATTGTGGTCAACTGGTGCTACATGCATAAGAAGTCGGGTGAATCTGTGAACAAACTTCTTCTTCATTGCTCAGTGGCAAGGGATGTTTGGTCTACATTCTGGCGGCTTTTCGTCTTCCATGAGTGTTTCCATTTTCCACCGTGGATCTGTTAGACTTGGAAAGGGTGTATAGCGGAGAGCCGAGTCAGAGATGCTTGGAGGGCTACTCCCCTTTGTATTTGGTGGGGTCTGTGGCGTGAGAGGAATAGGAGATCCTTTGAGGGAGAGGAGTCTCCTATTTGGTCTCTTAAATAAAATATTAAATCTACTTTATTCTTTTGGGTCAATGGGAGGGGTTGTAACTCTAACTGTATAGATTGTCTTTTGGACTTTGTGGATAGCTTAAAGTTATAGTGTCGTCTTGGACAGCTTTGTTTCCTTTGGGAGCGCTCCCCTTTTGAGGGTCTTTCTTCAATATAATCTTACTTACCAAAAAAAAAAAAAAAGATGGTAGGAGCCCTAGACTTTTCAAAGCAAAAGATCAACAAAGATACCTTATTGGGTATTGAAAGCTGAAACCCTAGTGAAAAACACCATTGCCTGTGCTAAGCCCACTTATGCGGGCTGCTGAGAGATGAAAATAGGCAACAGACATATCCTTTGCCATCATTTTTGCACAAAGTGGCTTCTCTCAAACTCAAACTAGCATCCTCACACTTGTTCCCACTTAATTATTACAATTTTTGTAAATTTTTCAGCAGCTGATGCTGGGTTTCTTTTTCAATAGCTGTAACAAATCAGTAAGAAATAAAATTCAGATCCATCTTCAGAAACACTTCTGATAGTGTGTGTGTGCAAGAAGAGGACGATGCAAGCCAAAATCCGTTTTTTTTTTTTTCCTTTTTATGTGATTAAGTAAGATTTCACAAAAAGCTGGACAGAATATAGCTGACCAATACAAAAGGGCCCCACCAACCAATACATCAGAATATAGCCCAAACAAGCAAATAAGAGGCATTAGACATTCCTGTTGTGGGTGTCTGGTTCTAGTAATGAAGAGGGAGGTACCATATTAGGATAATAGACGTCCTAAGAGATTGATTAGACCGAGAAAATCTATAAAAGTCCAAAATCACCATCTTCCACTTTCCCTGTAATAAGTTTTCATTCCTAATAAGACAAGAGGCATCTCCTGTTTAGAGCAATACGGAAGTACAGAAACAGCAAGAGGTAACGAACACGGATCAAGACAACATAATTGAATGAAGAATTCAACATTTCATAGGAGAATATCCATTAGTTGAATGCCACACACAAAGCACATCATGTGGCGTGTGTTCGCGAGGACATGTGATATCCGTCTCTCTATAAGACCAGCAAAAATGTATATGATGGCAATAAGAAAAACAGATCAGTGAGCACCGGTTTCAACGTCCAAATCCCTGGGATCCACAGTTGGATCATGGCGAAAGCCCAAGGTTACAACACGGCCACACCAATCTCAAAGAGCTCATTATGCCTAGCACCTGACAAGAATTAAGATGCATGCACTCAGATGCGGCTTTTGGCAGGATGAGGTAACCGAGATTGACCTAAAGATAGGAGTAAACTGAATCACACGGTAAAAGATTGCATAGTTAATGAGAAAGGTCGAGACAAAAATGATGAGCTCCACGAGTAAGAGAACATTGATATTGTCCCACACAGTCAAAGATCAATTATTATAACACTCCCTTATAGACCAAACGACTGATATCGATTACCAAGTGGAGTATAGAAATGGAGGTGGGACATGATTCCGCAAAGATATGTGACCACAACCTCATCGAGAACAACATTGTTTGGGGACGTGACAATGGTGAGAGACGGTCAAATCACGTGGCACATCAACATAGAGGCATGAAGAGTGCCATTCATGTTATAAGTTGGGTTCTGATACCCACCTTTTTTCTCCCTATAGCATGACAATCGGGTATTGGGTATTCAAGTATTTATTACAAGGCAGAGAAGGTGTCAGTGATCATAAATGCTATACATCTGTGATGAAAAAAAAAAGTCACGACAGTTCAAGCATATCTGGTGAAGATGCAATACATCGCTTAGTGACAACCATCAGTGCGGCCGTCATAGGGCATACCATAAACATAAGGCATACTCATAATCTCGATGGTAAGGACAAATAATGAGGTTTTGCACAAGGAGGATAACTAATGCCATCAAATCTTAAATGTTATTTAGCAGTAAATTGTTTCATCTTCTACATTGATGGAAACCAATTCTAATACATAAAAACACATACATTTATAAATATACAACTACACATTTATACATGTGTTCTAAACATTACAGCAATCAGAGAACCTGCAGTAAAATTATGGGAAGTAGAATCTAATAGAACAAAACGAAGAAAGTCGAAAAGGGAAAGTGAGTTAATTGATGTGTTAATATGGTTTTTTTTAAAAAAAGGTACTCAAATTTTCTGAAGAAGAACAAAAAAAATTACCTGTTGAATATCATCATGTTCAGAGTAAGCACCCTTTCCTGCCAACAGTAAGTCTATCTGGCTTGTCCTAGGAGTCAGCAACGGAGACCTTGGAGTCATGCTACCTGCAGATGACGTTGTCATTCCTTGATCAGACTTTGGGCCAAAACGAGTTCTACATGACATGGATGGTAAACCCTTAAGGTCGTCCATGAAAACAGAATTATCAGCTTCAGGGAAACAGTCCAGCATGTCCTCCGAGCCTCTACGGGACAAGTCACTGAGTTTGGGAGAGACAACATCAAATTCTTCAGTAACACTCGAGTTTGATTTTTTTGCAATATCTGGGCTTCCCATTACATGTTTAAAATCCTTCTCTGAAAAGGACGCAATTAATTTGTCAAGTGTTTCGGCAATTCTGACTAGTCGGTCATTGACAGTGAAACCCTTCTCATCACATCGATCAGCAATTGTACAAATTCTTGAGTGGTCTTCCACATGCAATGTTGGAACCTCCTCCTCACAAATGCGACAAATTATTGAGCTTTCCTCAGAAAGATTTGGCTGATCTCCCCAGTGACCCCAAGAAACTTTGTGCTGGTGCTTGGAATGATTTGAAGAATGTACATTAAAATCTTTAGCAGGAGGAAGCTCAGGAATCTTAGCGATACTCATATCAATATCAGAAATGACTCTTCGGTTGTTTTGCATTTTAGAAGCTATCACCTTACTATCATTCTCTTCCTCCTTCACCGGATCGGCTTCTTTTGGGCTTTTTCGGACAGGAGTTGGCAGTTTCTTCCAAGAAGCCATCCTATCCCTTCCTCCAGGAGAATCCAAGTTTTTTGTTGTTTCAGCAGCAGGTGGGGATTGAAAATTTCCAGATGGCACAGCATAACTTCTTTTCCAATCCAAGCCATGCTGCTCCTGACTGTAAGATTTCCTTGTTGAGGTTGCTTTTGAGGCCTTTGCAGCACTAGAACTTTTGCCATCCTTTCCCATGCCAGGAGGAATCCGCTTATCCACAGAATGCAATGATTGACGAAGGTGAAGGACATGTTCATCCTCGGCCAACCCACTTTCCTTGTGGAATTGCAACAATCTTGTACACCTTGTGAGAATAAAAAGCATTCGAGTATGAAGCTGCTTCAGCATACCCATTGGAAGTTCCTGACGCCTATCATCTAATTCTTGAACTATGCCTTCACACTGAAGCCAAAACTCTCCAGGTGATGTCATAGCACAGTTTCGAGCCAAAACCAGCAAGTCTTCAAGTGTTTCCTGCAATTCAAGATGTGAGCCTGCATTTTTTTCCAGAATTCCAACCAGATCTGCTGCAAAAATATGCAGATCAGAGTCCACTTCTTCTTTTGCTTTGTCAAATTTTGCCCGTATCATGACCAAAACCTCCTGTACATGATTGACAAAGTAATTAGGCACAATTAAGACTGGCAAGAGAAGCATCTATCAGCTGAATGGATAGATAATTGGAATGGATAACTTAAGTACCTCCAAGTTATTTAAGCCTCGAGGCTTCCAAAATGGGAAAGGCCGTACACCCTTGGAATTCAATTCATGGGAGAAACTTTTTATATCAGTGGGAAACCTCTTTCTAGGTGCACTTGTGACACGGAGGATAGCTTGAAAGCGGGGAGATTCAGACTCCTTGGGGTTTTCACAATCGTATGAAGTCTACAAAATAAATATTCAGATTTCAGCAGTACCACAACAGATGAGGAATAAAAGAAAATTGCAGTAAGTTAGAAATAATAGAATGCATTTGCCAGCATAAAAAATAAAAGTTTTTTTTACTTTTACCTCAGGAGTACAAACATCTGGACTTCTTAAGCTACCAGAAGGGCCACATGATGAATTGTATCGCCCTGTTGACATGATTCAAGAGACCAAAAGCAAGGCGAATAATTATACACTGCTAATCAATTCATTATAAACGATACATTGCAATGGTTTAAGAATTTCACTAACAGGTACCATTTCAAAAAAGCCCTAAGTTGAAAAGATTCAGAAAAGGAAAAAGGAAAGAAAAGAAAATTGAGAAATGAGGGAATAAAAACCTTAGTTGGAATTTTAAAACAGTGAACAAAAAGAGAAAAAGACGTACAGAAAAATTAATTAAGAAAGAGTATCATTACGACAGTAGATGGGGCATGTATGTCCCGGTATTGATTTTTCCCCCACAACAAGTAGCAACCACAGTTGTATCTATTATTCGGATCTACTTCTCCAGACACATAATAGAAGATGAAGACCATGTTATACTTCAATAAAAGATTTAGTAGAAGGTACATAACAGTCAATTAGAGTGTAGTGGAATCAATCGTACAATTTCAATTCATAACAAGATTAATGATGGCAATTTCCTCCGACCCGACGGGTTTCCGCCCTGCGCCCGCCCCTAATGGGGTGAATTTAGTGGCCCCTAAATGGGTTTGGGACGGGTATGGTAAAATAATTGAAAACCTGAAGCGGATTTGAGGCGGGGGCGGATTTAGTGATGACCCCGACCCTGCTCCGATTATATATATGCACCTTTTTTTTTATATATTTTTAAGACTCTTGTTACTTTGCTGAAAGTGTCTGTTAATATATTAATATTCACTAATTAGTAATTTAAAAGTTGGGTCAGCTTATTTATTAGCCCAATTTGAGTACATTAGGCTAGTTTTTTTTTTTTTTTTTTTTTTTTACTACATAGTAAAAGTGGTATAACCCGGCCCGCTGCACCCAGCAATTAAATGAAGTACATGGGGCGGAGTCGGTATTTTGTCTACCGGAGTAGGGACAGGGATGATATAACAATTACAAACCTGTTCCAAAGTAGGGGCAAAGTTGGTATGTCTACCGGAATAGGGTTTAATCAAACCCGCCCCAACTATGCCCCGTTGCCATCCCTAAGAACAATATATCGTATGTATAAAATGCAATGTTAACAAAATCATAAGGTGCAAAGAAGAAAGAAAAAAAATCATAAGGTGCAAGTGTGTAACAATAACATGATTCAGAGTGAATCCAACAGCGTGTACAAGGATAACCTCTAGCACAAAAAACTAAAAATCCTCTGCCTTCGGAACCCTAAAGCTATATACATTTACTCCATTCAACTTGAACCCATTTGAAGGATGTTTAATACTAAATATAACCGGTTGTCACTCATCGATGAAACTCATTTCCATAGATAGATCATTCCTACAAATCATGTTCCCAAACGGGATCTACCATTGTTGCTAAGTTCTTTTGAGTGATGGAGGGGGGAGGAACTCTATTAATCGTCATTCTAGCAATGCTATAGGTGTTGCAATTAGCCTCAAATTCTTAACAACTGGATTTCCAATTTTCCATGTTTTCTTAGAGGAACTTATTTTCTGGGATTTTCTGCTCAATCATTTCAGGATGTAAAATAACTGTTCATTTTGAAAATGATGGTACCCATCAAAAAAGAAAAAAGTACAAATGATTAACTCAGAAAAAATAAAAGGTACAAATGATTGTATGCTTGCATTAGGAACAAACATTTAACCTCATCTTTTGCCTTAATGACTGATGAAATGACAAGCACATTATGAATTAGCATCTGTATATGCTTGTTGCAAATGAGATTATTTTGGGACTAAACTAAAACAGGGATTAATGGTACATTAGACGTATGAAATAAGTAGCGCTAAAACTCAATCTATATGCTATAACTTTATTTTAAATAAAAATATAAATCAAAATGTAGTGGAGATCGATGGTCATCGGATAATTAGAAAACAGACAATTTTATCACTTAAACTTGATTATCCACAATGAGACCAATATTGGATATAATGTTGCTCGTGAATTAAAGAAGGACGAGTTAAAAGGAGTACTCCCTCCGTCCCAAAATTCTTGGGGAGTTTGGGGTATGATAGTGAGTGTTTAATATTTTTTAATTGTATTGATAAGAGTGAATTTTCAAATCTATCCTTGCTAAAAGACAAATAGTACTCCGTAATTAGTGCACTTGAGTCAAAAAGCTAGTTTGGGAATGTTACAAATAATAGTATATCCATTTTTGGAATGGGACATGTATTTTGGCACATCCAAAAATAGAAAGATGGACAAAAAAATTTTGATACGTAATAATGAAATAAAAAAGGTGTTCAAAAGGAGAACGCGTCCCTTATACAGAAATAGAACCGGGGACTAATGCCCCAGCGAATCAAAAAAAATAATTAAATCATCGGAAGAGGAACAAGAGCTCCTCTTCACATAACTGAAAAGGGAACGAATAATATGGAGTTTTAGCGTCACCGTGGGCGACTCCTTTCCTTCAAACATTCTACTATTCCTCTCCTTCTAGATGCACCACCAAACGCAATGTGGGACAATTCTCCAATAATCGCGTACACCTCTACTCACACGACATCCTCTCCAAGCTTGAATCAAATCCTTAGAAGAACGTGACATTACCCAACGCATACCAAACAACCCAAGAATAAGATTCCAGCAATTGTATGCCACAAGACGATGCATGAGGATATGATTTTGCTTGCATAGACAACACCAATTAACAAATCAGTTACCCCGCTTCCTCAAATTATCAATCGTCGGTATCTTACCCCATACAGCAATCCAAACAAAGAATGCCACCCTAGTTGGAGCCATAGAACGCCAAATGGTCTTCCACGGGAAGTCAAGACCAACAAAATTAGATAGGCATAAGAACAAAGATTTCACTTCGAAAAGACCATGGGAAGAGAGAATCCATATTAGATCGTCACTACCTCTGCCAACTGCCAACTGACTCCTGCCTATACAGCATATCCAGAAGAACACACACCTCATCCAGCTCCTAATCCTTAAAGGAACGCCTAAAACGCACATCCCACATAATCCCACTACTATCAAGGCGATAACAGTCAGCTACGTAGGCATGTCTATCAACTGCAATACTATATAATTTGGGAAAAGTATGAGATAATGGTTGGTCACCACACCAAAGATCCTCCCAGAAACGAACGCATTTGCCATCACGAACTTTGAACCTGATAGGAGTAGAGAAGACATCCCATCCCTTTTGGATGGATTTCCACACCCCAACTCCTCCCGCAAGATGAACCGGACCGGTAGACCAGCCACCACTCTCTTCTCCATACCAACTTGAAACTAAACTTCGCCAAGGGCGATGTCTTTCTCTCCCGTATCTCCACAACCATTTACCCAAAAGAGCTTGATTAAAAGGAACCAACATTCTAATACCTAGACCACCCAACTTCATGGGCTTGCAAACTTGCTCCCATTTGACAAGGTGATACTTGAACTCTTCGCCCCTTCCGCCCCAAAAGAAATCCCTTTGAATTTTTTCAATCCTATCAGCAACGGAGCATGGAATTTGGAACATAAATAAAAAATATGTGGGAAGGCTCGATAAAGTGCTCTAAATAAGAGTAACTTTACCCCCTTAGACAAGTATTGCTTCTTCCATCCTGCCAATCTCTTCGCATACCTATCAATCACAGGGCTCTCCTAGAAGAGACCCCTAGCGGCAAACCCAAATAAGGAATAAGGAAATAACTAACCCTACACCCGAGGACTGCAGCTAAAGAGGAATGTCCTAAACATCCCCTACCGGGACAAGCACACTCTTAGCCATGTTGACCTTTAACCCAAAAACCACCTGGAAACACGCCAGGATACACCTCAAATATCTAAGTTGCAACACATCAACATCACAGAAAACCAGGGTGTCGTCCGCGAAGAGAAGATGAGAAATCTCCACCTAATGTACTACATCTCTTCCCACTCTAAAGCCCTTAAAAAGACCAAGATCCTCTGCCCTTCGCATAAGTCTACTCAAGCCCACCATAACAATAAGAAAAAGGAAAGACGACAAAGGATATCCTTGTCTTAAACCACGGGTGCACCCAAAGAAACCAGCAGGAGATCCGTTCACAAGAACAGAAAACTTGACAAACGAAAGACAAGTCTCAATCCAATTCCTCCATCGGCTTCCAAACCCCATTCTCTGTAGCAAGTAAAGAAGGAAATTCTAATTCACATGATCATATGCTTTCTCAATGTCAAGTTTGCATAAGACTCCGGGAACCCCACTACGCAATCTGGAATCCACACATTCGCCTGCAATAAGAACTAAATCAAGAATTTGCCTTCCTCCAACAAAAGCGTTCTAGGAATCCGAAATAATCCCATCCATTACTTTCCTTAGCTAAGAGTTTGTAAATACAACCCACTAGGCTAATTGGTCTAAAGTCTCTAATGTCTTAAGCGCCTCCCTTCTTAGGGATAAGGGCAATGAATGAGGCATTAAGCAACTTCTCAAAAACGCCATTAGAATGAAACTCCTGAAATGTACCCATCATCTCGTTTCTCACAACCGCCCAACTTTCCAATAGAAACCGCATAGCAAACCCATCATGCCCCGGAGCTTTGTCCCCATTACAACTTGATAAAGCCTGTAGAACTTCATCCTCAGTAAAAGGAATCTAAAGCCCATCTCTGTCCAATTCAGATATAGCCTCAAAATGGAGACCATCAAGTTTAGGTCTCTAAGCTAACGGTTCTAAGTAAAGCTTCTGATAAAAGGAAACGATCCCAATGCGCACTTCTTCCTCCCTCCGCAGCTCCACACCTTCCACCCAAATTCGTCCTATATGATTATTCCTTCTATGAGCATTTGCGAATCTATGAAAAAATTGTGTTACGATCTCCCTCTTTTAGCTAAAGAGCTCGGGATTTTTGTCTCCACGAAATCTCCTCCATTCTAGCAATCTCAGCAAAAACTGCCTAACAGGAGGCTCTCCTTGAACGTAGTTCCTCCACATCCCCACCCGCCTCTTCAAGACGATCAATCTCAAAGAATATGGCAAGGACTCTATTCTTC